TATATATATATATAATGTTGAAAGAGGATCTAAAGTGCAGTAAGTGAGACGTTTCCATCAGCTGTGATGTTTCGCTGCAACATTCAGGAAACACTTTGATTTTTATTGATCGATTTATTGAGAAACAATTACAAAAACACATCAACGTAAAATTACATTACATAAAAACAGACATCTCAACTTTTACACTTTTTCCTAAAAATCCTTTTGTTATTGTGCATTCTGGGAAATATCAATCAAACAGTTTTGATTAAAAATGACGTTTTTCTGCGTTTGTGCTTTAACTCTTCACATGAAACGTGAAAACCAAAATATGAATATTTGACATTTGTGTTCATCACTTAAAATCTGGATTTCTCAGCCCTAAATATTGAATCATCATATCTCACGAGGTGAAACATGATTACATTGTTTTGTCACTGTCTATAAAGTAAACACTTCAAATGCAGATGAACACGATTAAAATATGAAACACGGTCTCCTACAAAGGTTATAACAACTTTACACAAACAGCACAAACCTCCAGCATGACACACACAATATTGACATATTACACAAAGTCAACTGTTGAAATCTGATTCTCATGTGAGAAGCTGCTGAACATGACAACAGCTAGTTTTCTTTAAGGATTATTTTTTGGGCAATTTATTTGACATACTTACTGTACATGAATATGTGGAATGTGTATTTATCATTTTCAACACGTAAAATATTCAATCATATTTGACAAGGTGCTTGACATATCAAACTTATATTGATGCCATCTATGAAGTATAAACATGATAAATGATGCAGATAAACACAATTCAGAACAGATAAAACCAAAAAGATGTATTGAAGGTTTTCCCCTTAAACTTCTCCATACAGAAAAATAATGCAGAGTTAAAGGTACACCATTTAAATATTATACAAAGTCAAAGCTAATATTGAAATCTGATTCTAGTACTATGACTTAAAACGTGTAGTAGAGTATTTATATAGAAAAACAAACATGGAGGCTGATAGCACATGTTTCATTAAAGCTGAAATGAACGGAGAGCTTCAGGAAGTGCAATCTAACAGTTTATAGACATAACGTGTTCTTTATTCTCTATTAATGCACACATTTTAATGTTGTATCTCAGTTAATGATTTTACGCTGCGCTATATTTTAAGTATAAAGTATAAAACGTGTTTGAAGGAGATTAAAGAAGACAATCAGCTGAACAAGTCCTCAAACTATTTAACAGCAATAAGCAGAAAGCCGTTGATCTTTGACGTTCAGTCTGAACACACAGATGTACAAATAGTGTAAAACATGAGAAGCGTTAAAAATGCTGAGTGGTTAAATAATAAAAGATACAGCTGCTAACTAAACGTAAACCATTAATGAGACGACACCACAGCTATTTACATCATTATACTTAAAACCTACTCCTCCACACACTGATCTGCTTATCTACACAAACAAACAATATTTGCAATAAAATAAAGTCATTTACAACCCCAACGTGCTAAATGCTATTTTAAGTTGGTTGGTCAAACGTAACCGTTTAAAAGTGATTTTGTCAAATCTTACAGAGTAAAGCAGATAAAGAGCTTCTGACTGGAAATACATCCGTGAGTTTTGACTTTTTATGGGAAACAATAGTTTTCTGGAGCCACATATTCCGTCTAGTGCTGGGCAAGTTAACGCGTTAATTTCGCGTTAACGCATTCATTCATTAACGCCGACAATTATTTTATCGCGCGTTAACGCATTTTTAAAATTTATTATAATTTTTATTTTTTTCATTGAAAGACAAGAGACAATAAATAGACATAACAACAAGAGGATGACAAGAACAGTGGGATAAAAGCCAGCAAACATCCTATAGTCAGTTGTGTATGTATGTATATGTGTGTGTGTGTGTGTGTGTGTGTGTGTGTGTGTGTGTGTGTGTGTGTGTGTGTGTGTGTGTGTTCTTGAGCCTTTTGAGATGGGAGAAAAAAAAAATAATAATAATAATAATAATTAAAAAACAACAAAGAAAAACAGGTAAGTATTTTTAATGTATTATTATTGTAACAGACTGTCTCATGTTTATCATTTTGTATTGGAGATATGATGTCCCTTCAGGATTGCCGTAGAGAAAAGGCGACTTCCGCTTCTGGTCGAGGGGGGCAGAAATAAAGAGAGAAGCTGCACCAGCTGTTGCTCTCCCTGGAGACTACTGGACATCGCTGCGGTAAAGTCAGCAGACACTCAGATCTCCGTGATCAACTCAGCAGACACTTACACTTTTGTGCACCTATATGCTGAAATTCACGGTAAACGCATTCAAACGGCACAGATCGGGAGCGAACGAAGGACTTTGAAAGTTAGCGGAAAGATAAATGTGAGGCAACATCCGGTTTCTTCAGACGAACATCCGGTTTTCAGAATAAGATGCCAACAAAGTATGAATTATATTCACATTAAGTACAAAACATGCTACCTGCATCTCGTGAACCAAATGTTATTGAACTTTTGTTCATATAGCAGTACTTTTAAAATAAAAGTGCGCAATACACTACTTTTGAATTCATTATTGAACTTTGCCATAACAATGCGATTAATCGTGATTAATCGCAAAAAATCCATGCGATTAATCGTGATTAAATATTTGAATCGTTGCCCAGCACTAATTCCGTCACATCACTAACGCAGTGTTCACACCAAACACGAAGTCCCTGACTACCTTTGGTGCCATTCCAAGATGCTACACCAGTCAAACGACGATGCTGTGCTTGCAAGCTGCTTCAAACACATCGTACATCAAGCTTGTGTGATGGTTCCGACCGTCCACGAGCAAATCTACGCCTTTGGTTACTGATTGAGCTACGTCAGCGACAAAATAATGCAGAGGAATGAGTGTGAAGCTCAACAGCAGGATAGAGGGGCTCTTTGAACTCCTTATGGAAGGTATGGAGGAGGATCCGACTGTCGGAGGAAACTCTGTAGAAGGACAGAGTGCCAGCCGCCCAATCCAGATACACCCCCACCCGACTGGAGCGTGAGCACTGGGAGAATACACAGACACTCTCGTTGTCGTGCCAAACAAAACAACCATCATCAGAGCAACTCATGCACCAAGACTTCTCGTTGCGTCCTAGCTTGCAATTATTCACATCCCCTTTCCTGCCAATGGTTCTGCACGTTAACCCAATGTTGAAGGGCTCCATCACCTCCACCTCCCAGTAGCAGCGCTCCTGCAGACCCTGTTGACACAGCACCTGTTGGCAGTGATCAAACCTTTCTGGACGATGTGGGTATCGCTGCTGGTCTTCCACCCAGGTCACCTTTCTGTTCCCTTCAGAGAGAAGGAGGTTCTTGTGGGCCGTGTTGGAGTCCAAAGTGAGCTCACAGGCATCTGGAGGTAAGAAAACACTTTGTTTTAGGACTATATACTTTAATTAATAAGCTGGGCAGCACTAAAGTCAGCAAGTTACAAAGATATCCATCAGACACAAGGCCTTTCCTTCAGGAAGAATTCGTGGAAATTACTATCTGCAGATGAATCACTGTGGTGACAATATTCAGCAATTGTCCAGGATTTCTACTGATTCTTACATTTCTTGAATCCAGGTTTCATCCGGTGACTTCCGCCATGATCAAGACTGAAGAGAAATGACAATCAGACAAAGAACAACCATTTAACTGACACATGTTGGTCTCAGAATCTTTGCTATCAGATGTGTTCATTGTGAATCTTTATTATTTGCATGTTGTTGTTATTGCTATCCAACCTATAGTGCTACAGCATGTGATGACATTTTGGTAGAATTCTGTCCGATCAGAGGGTACCCTTGAGTTGTTTTGCAGTTGGCAGTAAACTCCATCTCACTCTAGTGGATTTGTAAAGGTACTCCAGCAGTACTTTTCTCTCAGTTCAGTAGAAAAGTCATAAATCTAGCATGATACTTACTTGAGTAAGTTGAGCTTGTACTCCGGATCGGTCTTCAGCTCAGAGAGCAGCTTCTCTCCTGATTCTCCTGGATGGTTGTAGCTCAGGTCCAGCTCCACCAGTTGGGAGGCCTTTGAACGTAGAGTCGAGGCCAGAGAAGCACAGCCAACCTCTGTGACCTGACAGCCTGACAACCTGAGGAAACAATGTTTGGTTTATTAGCATGCAGGTTTTAGAAGTATTTATAACAAAGCGAGTTTGTTGCATCCCTGAATGAATGTACAGAAGGTAGGCTTAAAATAATGATCCGGAAGCATTGTGTCCCAGCTCAGACTGACGGAGCAGCAGTGCAAAGAATGAACTCTGCTGCAGAAACAATGCATACCTCAGTGTTTTGAGTCTGCAGAATTGACTCGACAGTCCATCACAGAGGAGCTTCACTCCTGAATCTTTCAGGTCATTGTTGCTCAGATCCAGATCTCTCAGCGGTAAGTAGGGGAACTTGAGGCCAAAGGCCAGATGCTTAATCCACTCTTCAGTCACTTTGCAGTCTGCTAGTCTAGGGGTGGATGATAGGGTTATTATATGAAAAACAAAAAGGTGACACTTTGTAAAGATATACATGAAATAAGACAAGATTAACATACACTACTCGGGAGTGAAAGAACCAATGCAACCAGATTATGTGACATATTACAGAGAAGGTACACTTACATGGCCTTTCTGCTGATCCTCACAGCTGGTATCAGCCTCCTTCTGCCTTCCTCCGATGTGTTGTAACTCTTCAAGTCCAACACATCCAGATCGTTCTTTGATACCTGCAGCATGTAGGCCAGCGCAGAGCAGTGCAGGGGAGTCAGCTCTGTTTTTGAACGATCGGACGATTTGAGATATTCTTGTATCTCATCTTTGACTTTGTGGTCTCTCATCTCGACCATATTCTGGAAGAGGTTGATGCCGCTGTCTGGAGAGAGGGCCTTTCTTCGGATGGCTTTGAGGTGAGTCAAGACTTTCTTCTCGGTGTCTTGGCTCGAGTCCGGCGGCGTCAGCAGGCCCTGAAGGACTCTCCGGTTTGGTTCTACCATGAGGCCAAGGAGGAATCGCAAGAAGAAGTCCAGATGGCCGTTCTTATTCTCCAGCACTTTGTCAACCGTTATCTTTAGAAGATCAAGTAAAGTATGTTCTTTGTCCTCCAGATCGAGGAAGTTGCGGAGCTCTTTTGTATTGTTGTTGGTGAAACAGTCAAAGACAAAAAGAGCTGCAAAGAACTCCTGTATGGTCAGGTGCACAAAGAAGAAGACCTTTTTCTGGGAAAAGACTTGTTCTTCCCGAACGATGGTACAAAATCCAGAGCAGACGGTTGCTTCTTCAATGTCAATGCCACATTCTTCCAGGTCTTCATCATAGAAGATGAGGTTGTTCTGCTGCAGCTGAACAAATGCAAGCTTACCGAGTTTCAGAAGGAATTCCTTGTCTGTCTTCAGAGGTCTCTCTTTGTTTTTCTCTGTCTTCTGGTCATATTTTCTGCTTCTGATTTTTGTCTGGGTAAAGAGGAAATACGCCATCATCTCTGTCAGAGTTTGAGGAGTTTCGGCTTTCTCATTTCCCCCAAAGATCTCCTTAAATAATACGGCAGCAATCCAGCAGAAGATCGGGATCTGGCACATGATGTCGAGACTCTGTGAGGAGCGAATGTGCGAAATGATCCTGTCAGCTAGACCCAAGTCCTGAGGAAACCTCCTTCTGAAGTATTCTTCTTTTTGTGGGTCACTGAACCCTCTTATCTCCGTCACCATGTCGACAAACTCTGCAGGGATCTGATTGGCTGCTGCTGGACGGGACGTTATCCAGAGTTTAGCATTACGAAGAAGGTTCCCCTGGATGAGGTTTGCTAGGAGGTTACCCACCGATGTTACTTCACTGACAGATGTTACCCGCTTGTTTTCAAAGTCCAGCTGAAGTCTGCTTTCATCCAGGCCGTCCAGGATCACTATAACTTTGGTGTTGACGAAATCTTCTGAGTCTTTCAGATCGTGGACTGCAGAGTGAAGTTCAGTCAGGAGCTGGCGCAAGCTTTTGTCATCTTTACTCAAATTCAGGTCTCGGAAAGAGAGATTGAAAACGAAATCAACGTCCTGGTTTTCTTTCCCCTCGGCCCAATCAAGAATGAATTTCTGCACAGAAAAGGACTTTCCAATTCCTGCAACGCCCTTCGTCAGGACTGTTCTGATTGGTGTCTTTTGGCCCGGCAAAGGTTTCAAGATGTCACTGAGGTCGACTGAATGTGCATAAGATTGTGGTTGTTTGGTGTGTCTGAACGATTGTTCCTCGTGTTTCCCTTCAGTCTCTGCAGTGGTGATGAAGAGTGTTGTGTAGATGCTGGTCATGGAGTTCTCTTGGTAACCGTTACCTTCAAATGTCAAAGTAAATTTCCTCTCCATCGCTTCCTGAAGATTCTTCTTTGCTTTCAAAAAATGGCTGCGCCCTGAAAGAATCAAAATGCATGGTAGCAAATTCCAAAGTTCCAATAATAAATGATTACTATTAAATATTTTTAGCTAGGTCCTGCAAAAGCAGAAGCAAACATTTGACATCCGACACTGATGATGCAAGTATTAATGTACTACTAGCATTAGTTGAAGTAGCACAAAAAGCACAGATAACTAATCTTACCAGCGTCTTCCTCAGTATCTCTCTGGTATTCAGGATCTTTTCTGAGTTTCTTTCTATGCGGTTCCTCAGTCCGCTGGCTGAAGGGTGATCAAAAAATACAAACGTTAGTCTGTCAGTTGTCGGGTTTTGGGGCCACAGTTTGGTGCACTTTCAGTTTCAGGATATTTTTTTCAAAAAGATGACTTTCCTTGACAATTAAAGCGTTTATTCATACAGGATAGTAAATAATTATGACCCAGTCATTCATAATTCCTGGACCACTATAGTATGTGTTCATTCGTACTTGGTAGTAGATCATTCCTGAAGACTACAGCATGTCTGTGGTGATTGTTTCTTTGTGTTGTAATATATGACGTATGTGTGAAAGCGCTTAGCAGAACGAATCTTTGATGAAGCATAATGTGCTTTTAGATGCGTGATATTTAGTTTGCTGAATACTATTCAATTACCTTTGTGTTTTATTAACACTGAACACGATCGGCTCGCCCATGGAGGCATCATCCTTCATCGAGACACCGCTGGGAGCCGAGGACTCAGCTTCACTCACCTGTGAACTATTAAGAGAAGAGAGTGAATAGATAAATACATAAATGTTAATAATAATAATAAATATATTTTAAGAGATATAATATATTACCTGATCCGCTCACTGCTGGGCTGTTCAGACAGGGAGGAGGATGAAGAGGATCGTCTCCTCTTCTTCCTCCTGTCGGCCATTTTCTTCCGTTGTAGCTGAAACTTTAATTTGTATTTATTTAATAAGTTTCCACCTGATTAATGTTCATTCTAGATCATTTCAGGCTCAGATGATGAAAGACGGTCTGACAGAGACACATTCTTACATTTTATTACTTTTGTCCAAAGAAACTTAAAATTAAATAATGAAACACATTAAAACCATGTGAGAGGAAGAGTTAATGTCTCAGTGCAAGCGCTTAGAAATGTTTAAATTATTATTATTATTACAGCTATGATTTTAGCAGCATATGTAATGTGCAGCAGGTCCCACATGTATTTAAATAATTTGATATTGTATAATAATATAGTTATATTGTAATACAATGCAGTATTTAACAGTGCAGTTTGTGAGATTATCAAATGTGTTTATATTTAAAATATAAAAAGTACATAATAAATACATCTAGTGGAGTAAAAAGTTCAATATTTCCCTCTGAGCTGGAGTAGAGTGGAAGTATAAAGTAGATTAAAATGGAAACACTCAAGTAAAGTACCTCAAAGTATTTAAGAACAGTACTTGAGTGAATTTACTTTGTTACTACTTGGTCCTCATACAGTCAAATATTGTCAGATTAAGATCAAATAAAATGGAACTTTATTAATCCTTAAAGACATGTTGTGCCACAGTTTGATTAAAGAACACAACAGAAGAATAATAAAATAAACAATAGAATAACAAAATATGAAGCTATATGAACAATAGAGTAATAAGTATTTTGTGTATAAGCAGTAAAACAGAATAGTAGTAACAGTGAGATTCAGTTAAAAAGCCAGTTTCTAATAATTATATTATAAATAAGTTGTAAATAAAGTTATAAATAAGATGTAGTGTAATTATCATAATATATTTTATTGTGTAATAATGTAATACAGGAGCTGAAATGAGCCGTTCCTTCACTTCCTAGTTCCGTGTTTTATTGAAGATGAATATCCTTGTTGTTGTGAGCTGTGAACGGACTGCGCATGTGTAGAACAGATAAGTGTTTCCAGGTAAAACATGTAAAGAGAGTTTTTACATTCTGTGTGAACAAATAAGAAATATGCAGAGAGTCAGGTTATTGTCTTCGTCCTTTTGATGACGTCATTCGTTCGGGATTAAAAGTTTTGCAGAAAAACACAAAGTCAACGTTGAGGTTGTTTGTTTTACTGCGCACTCACACAGGACACAACACATCGTCTGTGCACTAACGACTACACACCATGAGAAAGAACACGAACGATCAGCTGTTCATGACACTCACTGTCAGTGTTTGTCTCCTCGCTGCAGACTGAGTCCTTCAATAACCAAAAATGTCCTCAGATCGGTTCAGGGTGCAGTCGTCACGCGAAGCAGCAAAATGGAGAACCAGAACATAATCTTTACTTTCGATTTCGATGCCACCACCACCACCACCCCTCCCCCTTCAAAATAAAGTCCATGAGAGGGAAACAGCAGGCTGACTTTTTATTATTATTATAAAGTTCAAAGGAGAAGCTACAACAACGAGTGAATTTATGATAATCAGTTGATTCCGTCTGTCTAATATATTAAACATATTCTATAATAATGATGTAAGTGTAGCTCTTACATGCAGCGCACCATGATGATGTTCTAATAACGTTAAAGAGTAAAATGATGTTCGTGTTGAAGTCCTCAGTGATCTGTGGACCATGAACCCTCTTCAGCAGTTCTCCTCACTGAGTCCTGATGAAGGTTAAAGACAAGAGAACAGAGAAGGAGTCAGAGACCTCCATCACTACGTCCCCCTAAGACCTTAAACCCTGAACCCTCAGGGACCCAGAGAGCTCCATCACTACGTCCCCCTAAGACCTTAAACCCTGAACCCTCAGGGACCCAGAGAGCTCCATCACTACGCCCCCCTAATACCTTAAACCCTGAACCCTCAGGGACCCAGAGACCTCCATCACTACGCCCCCCTAAGACCTTAAACCCTGAACCCTCAGGGACCCAGAGAGCTCACCTGGTGAGACTGAGAGCTTTAAATGGTGTAAACAGGAATAGAACAACACTTTATTAAACGTCTTCCAGACTCTTTCCTCACAGGATGAGATCATTAATATAATATATTTACTTGTTTTGTTAAAACAGCTTCAAAGACAAACTGAACCTTTAATGAATAAATAAATATCCTGTTTGTTGGTCCATCTTTAACCCTTAATGCTTGAGTCAACGTTGAGGTGTTTTTACTTTTTTTTTTTTTTTTTTTACTGCGCACTCACACAGGAAACTATTTCCGCCAGCAAAAAAATGTTTTAATGTTGTTTTTTACAATAAATAAATAAATAATGCACCAACACTTCTGCTGCATCCATCTGTAACCATGACACTGACCAGATGTTTCCAGTTTCTCTTTAATGAAGGTCTTCACCTCAGACACTTTTATTCTTTCTACTCCAGAGCTGCTTCTTCTTTAACATCCTTCCATCAAGAAGTATTTCATGTGTTGTAAAGCCACATTTTAAAGAAGTCTTTAATGTACTCGCTGTACATGTATATGTCTAATGTAGGGTAACCTATGAAGAGCTGCTTCTATGACTGTTGTGTTAAAGTATCTTATAATTTCGACATTATATCTCGTAATTTTGTATATTAAAAAATATGTGTGTGTGTATATATATATATATATATGGAGAGTGTGAGTTGCACCGTTTGGACCTCGTAAGACTTTCTTTGTTAAAGTGTTGTTTTTTCTGCCCTGTGGCACAAAATGACCACTATATTTATGCATGCACATATATTTTTTGTGTATGAGTAGTTTAATGGCTGTGATGGACCAACGTGTAACTTTTCCCACTTTGTACTTCTACCATCATGAAGATATTATTTAAATGGTTTTGTTTGAAACACACAAAACACTGAAGCTGTTTTCTTTTCTCTTTTCTGATAGTTGCTCAGAAACTGAAGTAAAGGTCAAAGAAGGAAGCACGAGCAGTGGCGTTGTGTGTGGAGCTGCTTCAAGACAACGTTACGGCTTAATAGCTGCATTAATATTATTAGCACATGTTCTTGGGATCACAGGTTAGTGCTCGTTCTGCATCCCTAATTTGATTGGCTCATACATAATCTCTTTTCCTCCCCTTTGTTTCTCCTCAATTCCTTCTTCGAGTGGTCGCTAATGGTTCTAGCTGATACCTTTCTTGCTTTTGTATTTCAGGCGGACTAGTATCGAAAAAAACATAAGTTATGTTGGCTCCATATGCAAATAGTCTCAAACACGCTGCACCACATTGAATTCAACTCAAAAGTGTATTAATGTCTTATTTAATGTCGTCTTTTCTTCACCAACATTTCAATCAATGAATTTTATTTGTCACATGAAGTCGTACAACAAAGAAATTCAATCTAGTCAGCAGAATAATGCATAGCCTCCTTTTTTCCCACCAGAGCCCTCTGACTGAAGGGCTCTCCAGGATCCAACCAGAGAGGATCCAACCAACACGGACCGCACAGCGTCAGGGTCCTCCTTCACTCAGAGGATCGGCGGTTTGATCCCGGCTCCACTAGTCCATGTCAATGTGTCCTTGGGCAAGACAAATTACTAACGCCAGCTGTGCCTGTGTGGCACAATAAGTCATATGTAGTTCAAGAAGTACAAAAGTTGCTTGGGTGTAGTGTAAGTTAAGTGAGTTTATTATGCTTCCTATGTGTTTATGAGGAGGAAGTGTTCATTTTAGTTATAATGTGGGGTACAGTGTTATTTATCACCAGCTACATCTGTAGGCAGTAGATCCAGTGGATCGCCAGTAGGTGTCAGTGTTGCGACATCAGCAGTGTCTGTGACGGAGAGCAAGAGGGAAGTCTCGCGTGAATACGCGAGAACATGAGAATCTCTGAACAGGATAGAAGAAGAAAGTGCTGAGAAGCGACTATATACCTAAACGCATATCTTTGTATTTACAGGTAAGCTGGTGAAGTTATTTATACTGTACGTTGGTGGCAATGTGTAAGGTCTTGTAAATGTTTATTTGCAACAGGATTAACTGTGTAAGTTTAGCTAGCTAGCAGCTAATGCAAGATTTCCGACCGCCATTGTAGCAGTAGTAGCGCGGGACGGCAGCCGTGATAATGAGCCCTCGTGTGAGGGAGCCCCCGTCGCTCATATTATTGTTTTGTATTAAATATGGTGTTATGCTGAGTAGCATTTAGGTTTCGGGAAATATAAGACAAATCCGCAAACTCTACAGGACATATACAACACCCGCCTCACCCGCAAAGTGACCATGATTGTGCGCGACTCCAGCCACCCGTCACACAGTCTCTTCAGCCTCCTGCCCTCTGGGAGAAGATACCGGAGCCTCCGTGCTCGCACCACCAGACTCTCAAACAGCTTCGTCCACCAGGCTGTTAGGAAGCTGAACTCTCTCCCTCCTCTCTTTAACACTGCCTATGTCCGACTGCTGCTAAATACAGTTTGATAGTTTTTTTTCTTAATATATATGTTGTCTAAATGTTTTTTTAAATCTATTTGCACTGTATTCACTTTATATGTTTATATGTTGAACTGGAGAGAAACGTTTTTTCAACTGTTCGGTACATATTGTGGAATTGACAATAAAGCTGACTTTGAACTTGATATATATCGTTTACTGTTGTCCTCAAAAAGCATTCCTGTATCTGCTGCTCTTAACTATAATTTAAATACTTTTAAACTCTACAGAACATGGCAGAAATATTATATTATGTGTAAATATAGTAAATCAAACTAAAGTGATAAAATATTGGTTTATGGTCTAAAGGCCCATTTAAAATATGACGATGTAAATATGTGTAAATATTAAAATGTAAAAAACGGAACAGGACCCCCCCCCCAGCCGCTCTCAATATATTATTATAGTATGTCTCATTTACTGAAGTGTTGTGTATTGATAAGTATCATGTAGTTTATGTATCGGCATCATATCTAGTGCTGCCATCTAGAGGACAAATTGTGATAAGACAAAAACATTCTCAAAGAAACAAAACGTGTACCTGCTAAAACAGAGTGATGATATTAAAGCTGCTCATCAATGTGATTAATATTAATAATCTGCAGCATTATGTTTTAAATCAATCTGCTTCCATTGGTTTGCTTTTATTATTTTTCCTGTTTCATTATTTCTATCAGACTCAAAAACCTCCATCGGGCTGAAACAAAAGTTAAAAAGACAAAACATTTGTTTCTGATTTCTGATCCATAAACTAAAAACTATAACATTTAAAACCAGCTTAACTTGAATAATAAATGACTACACGTTGAATAATGAACAAACATATCTTTATTATCTGTTTCTTTGTGCTTTTAAAAATCTTCCTGTTGAAGAAGCTCCTGGTCATTAAAGGAGTGTTAGTGACACCTAGTGGAGACAAAGGTGAACAACAAACCAGTACCTGGAGCAGCTCAATGAAACTCCTCCATTAATTATGTCCCCTCGTGTCCTCGTGTCCTTCATCTGGACGCTAACTGAGTCGAGCTAAAAGGATCCAGACTGAAACCTCTTCACTCTCAGTGGAGGAACAGAACCACATCACTTCCTGGTGCTGAGATAGTTTTTATTGTATTAACGATAGAACAAACAGTCAAAGCCCAAGGACACTTCAGCACTGAGGGAGAGTTAAAGGAGACACATCGTGCTCATGTTCACACTCGTACTTTATACTAGAACACGTTACTTGCTTTAAAGTATTTCTCTCATACTGTCTGAATGTACCTGTATTCACCCTCCGTCTGTTTTAGCGCCTGTCTCTTTAAGAGCCCTCTTTTAGAAAGCCCTGCTCTGATTGGCTCGTGAGGTTGTGTCTTGGAGGAGGAGCCACATGTGATTGGCTTGTTGAATCACATGTTGTTCTGATGGAGGCGGAGCTTCGTGACATGTCCCCCTTTAAACCACAACAACAACTTAAATATGTTTGTGTATTAAATTCCACAGCTGGATAAACATTTATCAAAATGACATCATCTCACATCCAAAACACAGATTTCAAACATTTCAAACGGGGAGATTATTATTTAAAAATACTCAACAAACATGGCGGTGAGGTCACAGAGACTCGTTCTCTTCCATGACATCCATCTTTAGTTTGTCTTCTTCTTCACAAACGTGGAGACGAGAGTTCAGACGACTAATATTTTTATATTCCGACTTATTAAATCTGAGAGTTTACGTGTCGCCCGTCGGGGGAGGGGCGTCGTCGCTGTCGTCGTCCCAGGACGAGGAGGTGAACCCCGCTGGGGCGGAGATGGAGTGCGGTGCGGGGGTGTGTCCGAGGCCTCGGTACCGCCCGCTGGAGGAAGGGGAGGAGGGCATCGATGTGGCCGCCGGGGCGACGGGGTCCTGTGACGAGGACCCTGAGAGGAGGCCGGTGTGCTCGGTGTGTTCGGGTTGAGACGCAGCGCCGAAGTACATCTTGTTGGGACGACCCAGCAGCGTCCGACCTGAGGGGGTGAGAGATGTTTACCACATTATTATTATTATTATTTATTATTATTATTATGTTTATTATTATTGTTATCATTTATTATTATTATTTTTATTATTATTATTTATTTTTATTATTATTTTTATTATGTCAATAAAAAAAAAAAATATATATATATAAAAATATATTTGACTTAAATCCCTTTAATCAGCTCCTGAAGCAGACGAGTTGTTTGTTGTTGATGAGGTCAACAGATAATCAATAATCAATAAACTCACCAGCATGGCGGACCTGCTCTGTGACATCAGCTCTGATGTCAGAGAAATCCCACATGGCCAGAAAGCTGTCGAAACACGACCCCTCCTCTGCTTCCTGGACGGATCAGATTAAAGATCAGAGATTATGTTGATCAGATTATTGATCAGATTATTGATGGGATTAGATAAATGGAGGGGTGTTTACCTGTACGTATGGTTTGTAGGTGAAGGTGTAGTGGTGAGCGATGGCAGCCAGGAACATCTCTATGCAGATGATGAAGTCCTGTATCAACACATCGATAATCAATAATCTAATGGCACTTTGTTCATGTTCTTCTTCAGCAGAACGTTTGTGTTTCAGACGTTCATTGGTCTGAACATCACTGAAGGAGACGCAGATGTTTCAAAGCTCCCGTGACGTACCTGCAGTCCGGTGGCCACGGCCTCCACGCTGTCCCAGTCCCAGGTGTGTTTGTCGGAGATCACGCCGACCTTCACCAGGAACGCGATGAAGACCGCCTGCCTGGAGACAGAAGGGGAGGAGCTTAGTGTGTCGGCACTAAGGCAGCAACCAATCAGTTATTTACATCCTCACACGTTAAACTCTGTACATATAGAAAGGACTGAACCCTGGTGGGTCTGAAGAGGAGCTGTCCAGGCTCCTGCGGTGCTGATCAGACCACTACTGGGACTACTGATCTACAGAAATCAGCCTTTTGAATCCTGAGGAATCAACATAAATTAATCTTTTTACCACGAGAAAAACCTGCTTTGTTATCTCGAGATACCGAAGTAATTAATTGATCTGGATCCATGGTGGTCCTGGATCAAGCTGCACGTTGTGTGTTTGACTAACGCTGAAGTGAACCAACAGAAACACACGATGAGTGACTCTCTGCTTCCTCCTTCCTCACCAGAAGGAGACGAACACCACCAGTTTGACGCAGAGGAACTTCCCCACCGGCCTGATGGGAGTCAGCTCTTCTCTGAGGGATCGGTAGAGCAGCACCAGACAGTACATGGCAAACTGGAGAGAGAGAGAGAGAGGCCGCTTCATAGAGCTTCATTGATCCATGAGAGGTAGTGGACTTTAAGGTGTTACTGAAATATACATAAACATGACTAAATAATTAGAGTATATAAATGTGACATGAACTAATACTCCCAGCTGGTGTGTGTGTGTGTGTGTACCAACTGTGAGATGTTGTTGATGTGTGTGTGTGTGTGTGTGTGTACCAGCTGTGAGATGTTGTTGATGATCACCAGGTAGGACCAGGCGCTCCTGAAGCTGAAGTTGGCTTCATCATAAACTCCACACAGCTGACAGATCCTGCAGACGAGAGAACGTTGTTGACGTGTCACACGGTATCAAAAAACACCCGTCGCCGTGGTTACGGGGCTAAACTTACAGGGCTATCACCGTGGTGACGGGCCGGACCACGGTGTACTGGAGGACCCCGAGCTTACACCTGAACAGCAGAACCCTGGGGGGGGGGCAGAGAGAGGAACACTTTAACGTCTGCCCTCAGGTCCTCTGTGAGTCACAGACCGTCACATGACCTCCTCTCTTACTCTCCCATTGGCCACGGCGGGCAGCAGCAGAGCGGCGGCAGGTGAGGCTGCTGCTGCTGCACCTCCAGCATCAGCACCAGGCTCGGGTACTGGTTGCTGAGGAAGCTCAGCAGGAACACCAGGAAGTTGTAGATGACGTAGGCCTCGTAGCACTCCCTGCACGTGTCCACGTAGATGGCGAGGCCGGGGTACCGCAGGGCCAGCCACTGGAGACACAAGGGGGGAGACAGAGGGTGAGGGTCTTATGGGGGGAGACGTGAGAGACGTGAGCTAGAGATGAAGTGCAGGAGTCACATGAAGGACAGGAAGAGGAAGAAGGGAACACAGACAGACAGATACGGGAAGGAAGGAAAGAATTAAGGGAGGGAGGAAGGGAGACTGCAAGACAGACAGACAAACAGAGACAGGAAGGAAGGAAGGAAGGAAGGATGACAAAGTGACAGACAGACAGACAGACAGGGAGGAAGACAGACAGCGACAGGAAGCAAACAAACAAGGAAGGACGACAGACAGACAGACTGTATCAGAAACACAGAATTGTGTTTAACTTGACCTCTGGTCTCGTGACTCTCTGTCCCACTGCCTCCTATTAAGGTCTGTTAACGTAACGTAATAGAGTGAACACATTACTCTAACTTCCTGTTTGTGTGTGTGTTTGTGATTGTGTGTGTTTGTGACTATGACTCACGCTGTCCAAACTGTAGATCGGCACCATCCATAGTATTCTGGAGGAGACAAAGAGACAAATAGTGTTTACTTGATGAAGTGACGCGGTGTTTACCCGATGAAGTGATGCGGTGTTTACCCGATGAAGCGACGCGGTGTTTACCCGATGAAGTGACGCGGTGTTTAGCCGATGAAGTGACGCGGTGTTTACCCGATGAAGCGACGCGGTGTTTAGCCGATGAAGCGACGCGGTGTTTACCCGATGAAGCGACGCGGTGTTTA